GAGGCTACTCGGTGCTCCCGAACGATTCCCAACGTGGAAACTCGTGTCTGATGCTCAAAGCAGCCGATGCGACGGGACAAGGAGTTTGACACGACTTTAGAAGGGAATGTTGACAAGCGAGCAACAGCTGAGCACTTAGTCGAGCATGAGGAAAGGGAGAGATATCCCAGGGGAGTCGTTGAGATTTCCGGCGGTCGTCGACAGAGAATCCTGGATACGTCCTCCCGTCGGGCATCTCATAAATTTCGACAACAAGAGAGTATACGGATCCCGTCGAACTCATTTATTTCAAAAGTGGATACACATTAAGAGCTACTCATGTCGCTTTATCGTTGAATAAACTCGTTAGCTCGGTATCAGTATCGAATAGTGTGTAATCACGCTGATTATGTCGTCTGAACGCTAATTGTTTTTTTTCACTAACAATTAACAAGGAAGATAATCGCGTTGTGAAATGATCAAAAAATTTATTAGGCTATTTATTTCTATCGTAGCGTATTTAGATATGTTTACAAGCGTCTAAGTATTACAATCAGCAGAAGGAAATTTATATAAAATGTAGATAATTTGTTTAAAAAAGAAATAACCGTACGTGGCTAATATCTGAACGAAGAAAAAATTAATTGATATACACCGAATTTAACGGAATCAGTAAATTAATTCAGCATTAAGATTCTACTGTTGAAATCATTTAAGATTAGTGTATGTTAATTGATCCCTGATTTATAGAGGTGCAGATGGCTGTGTTATGACGTAATTAGGAGATCCCGTTATCTTCTTTGAAGCAGAAGGAAGAACCATTTATCTGGTTGTTTACTAAACATCGCGTTGCGAATCTTGTTGATCATGGAATCAAGTTTACAAACTTGTTTTTGATCTTTTAGATACATCAATAATAATATGCCACGAAATCCACCTTTTTATTCTTATTCGCGTAATATAATAGTAAACGATTTCATTCATAGATAAGAAGATCCATGATCCTGAATATTAAGTGTAAACTGAAACCAGGGTTCTTACAGATGATGAACTTTGCACATGACGTAAAAGATCACGTAATTAATTTTTTTGTAAAATTAGTGAAAATGAATCTCCTTAACAGTCAGATGATTTTCACACTAATTATAAAATAATCATAAAAATTCAGAACAGAGTTGAGATAAAAGAAAAAAATATATCTACGTGATTTATAATTCTGTGATTTTGGTTTCCGAAATTGATACGTACATGTATATTTATTTATTCGAATGTATACTAGCTTCATATCTATATTTATCTGCGACAATATTTTTTTTTTTCAGCAAAACGATACCAAACATCAATTTGGAAAACAATTAGACGATTGCTACTTTTGCAAGTTCTAGATTCACCAAATATACTAATTACATGTCGGTGCCTCTTTAAATGAATCCAACGGACATTTAAACCAAGGGGCAAAAGACTTGTCATTAAATGATCGTAAGAGGTCACTATACAGAATTACTAACAATAAGTTTAGTACGATTGAAATCTTTACTTTCAAAATTATTAGATAGACATGCATAATTACAAAGCACTAAACTTACAGGAAATAGACAGCCAGAGAAGCCTGATGATTCTTCAACAAGGAACAAAAGAATTCTTGATCACCGCACAGGAAGATTTACCTTGTTGAAAACACTGCTTTGGTATAATAATTTTTATCACTGTATATCGCGACTCGCGTAGAAATCGTCGTGTAGCAGCGGGAGCACGACAGAACGTGCGCCAGAAAGGAGAGCCAGCCGAGATTGAAACTAATTGAGAATGTTCTGAGCGGACCAGCAAGCGTTCCGAAGCGGGTGGAGGTGCACAGAGGCGGAGTTTCGCTGCCACCGAGCCGTCTAACTTATCAGAGACCTCCCACGTTTGGTTCTCCGCCCCCGGTGGCTGGAACAGTCAAAAATCCTGTCCTCGTAGGCTACTTCCATGTTCTTTATTTCACTGTTGTATCTTTTCAATGCAACGTCAAGTATCCGTGAACTGACTTTGGGAATTTTCTTTGCAGGAAATCGAATTAAAAAAAAATGCTACCAATGACGCAATGACGAGTCAGTTGCAAGTGGAAGAAAGATCATTCTTATTGAGAGACCAGGAAGGGAACAACAGTTACACAAATAAAATTTAATGACTATGGTTGTTGACTTGTTCAAGTGTTATTTGTTATATTTCCATTGCGAAGTTTGTAAAGAACGTCGAGTGGTACGAAACAAATATCGCATTTAGAATAACATTCTCAACGATAATATTATTTATTGGCCAGGTTTTACAAGTTGTTGTTGAACTTTTCGGATACAAGGTGCCTTCAATATAAATTAGATACTTTTACAAGTTACTAAAGATCAAAATACATTTATTTAGTCTGAAATATTAAAATTACTAAAATTATTAAAATTATTATGTATCCAGGTATTCTGAAGTTGAAGCTTCTCAAAACTAATCCTGCCCAATATGCTTCAACCTGCATCGCCGTGGAACACGTATTGCTGTGCTCTACTTTTGAAAAAAATTGGTCCAACACCGAGCCCACCAAGCACAATTATGTAACCGTGCTCAGGTGGCATTTAAGAAATCACGATTAGGCAATCGTGTTTTGCACAATAATCATTACCCAGAATCCTACTGGAATTAAGGTCACCGAAAAAAGAATCGCTGAACTGAATGGAAAAAGGCCTGGTCAGGATTTCATCGTGGCCCCGGTCTGATCATAGAATTGCCGTTTCCAATGCTGTGCCAGTTTTAATCATCGCGCACGCGTTCATTTGGAATCGATACCATACTCGAGAGCTTGCATCTATTAGTAAAAAGCTTATCGTCTTATTAAAAAGATCAATCGCTCAAATTATATCCTACGTTGACGTACACACGCGCGCGCGCGCGCGTACGCGAGACAAACATTTGCAGAAATTCATTTTTACTGGAAAACGGGGATATTCATAAATTGTTTGTAGAATTGTACAGTCTTTAATGTGATTGATCCTTTTGGCCCTGAAAGCGAGACACGTAAGTAGTTAATTGATCCATTAGGAACGTGTTTCCGATCAGGTTCCGTTTTTCTTGTTGCAGAGAGAGCATCCGGGGATGTTCATTTAACAGGACAGAGGGGAAAGGAAAACGGTCGCCATACTTTGGGCGGAGACTGCGATACATTTGCCTCTTCTATTGGATGAAAAGATCGATCTGGTGCATCAGTTGCATGCGCCTGCTCACAGAACGGTTCTCCGATCCCTCCGCGATTCGTTTCGCTACGGGGGAGCACTGTGTCCCGAGTACCCTTTCAACCCCTTTAAAGCGATACTTGTTGTTTTCCAGAAAAAGTACAATACCAAGCCTCGAGTACCTTTATTGAAAGAAAACTGTATTAAAACATTTTTCAGACAGTTCTGCAGCAGTCCTATATATAGTCACGGTTAGTCAAACCCATTATGGGAACTCAATTTTATTATTAGATACTGATCGTTAATTTTTTCTTATTAATTTTAGAAAAATTCTGAAGTATATCGAATAATATATATATATATATAT